GAACGACCCCAAGCTTGTCAACATCCTCCACAAGCCAATCTGAAGACAGTTCCAGGAGGGAAAAGAAATGCAAAACCGAAGCCAGCAAGCCATGAGCTCGCAAGTCCTCAGCCACAAGCGCAGTCGAAAGGGTGGGAACCTTCACGTGAAGCTGAACCGTGCCCACATCCCGCAGAAGGGCAGGAGCGAACAAGCACTCATTAAGGTGCTCGAAATCGCCCCCCTTTCCCCAGGAAAACCTGGACGATCGTTAATGCCTCATGCCACTCAAGTGTGTGAGTACAACAGAAAGCACTTCAAACATCCAACGACAACAACAGCCAGTCTGCAAGCCAGGACGACTCCGGAACCTCATAACGGACCCAGTATGGAGACGAAGATCCAAACCTGAAGGAAGATGAATCCATCATAGAGGCATAGTCCGGGTCGCACAGGAGGTAAGCCATAATGGCCACCCGAGTCTCGGAATGCGAGAAGCGGGAGGCCGAAAACCTCCAGAAAAACAGAATCAAAGGACAAGCAGGGACACAGAACTGAGCCCGAGGAGAAGCTGAACCCAAATCCAACTCATACGCAGAGGGAGGGATAGGAAAACTCCACTCCTTGTAACAAAAAACCCCGCTCAGAGGGTTTGAAACCCAGGCGGGGTCCAACGGGGCCCATGGCCTCCAAGTCAGCTCCTCCCCAACCCCAGGAACCTCCACGTCAGGCCCCAGGGGCGATTCTGCCTCCAAATCCCCAGCCTCACAAGAAAAACCTGGGGCAGCCGGAAAACCGGGAAGAGAAGAGGCCCACTGTTCAGACCCCTAACGCTAGGCTGGAGGAAGGGACTCGAATGCCTCTGTTGCCTTCCCAGAGAGGGCAACCCTCAAAACTGCCCGAGTCTCAGAAACCTCTAAACCCTGCCCCGACTCTGTAGCCCTCAGACGCTTTGGAGCTGGAAGCAAGGGGGAGGACACAGAATGAAGCCCAGCAGGGGAAGACCGAGGGAGGGGGATGCGAACTGAACCAAGGCCGAAGCGGCCAACACCCTCAAGTCCAGGTCCCTATAACCCTCGGGGCATCCGGGGAAGCAACGAACCGAGAACGTTGCCACAACCTAAAGCGAGTATTCAATGCCTGAGCCGTCTGCACTCAAAGAATGTCATCAGTGGATTGGGTGAATTGAGTTACAAACAAGCAACAATGCTCACAGGACTTTGGGGTCAAAGGTGTCACCAACCCAACAGGCAGCATGACGGAGGAAAAAACAATGAGTGTCGCCGAGGGAACAGAGCAACCCTCAAACTCGCACAAGGTGAGATAATTCCCAGGAGTCGCATCTATCTGACCCCGTGTGCCCCCGTCAGGATTCCCAGGACCCTTATACTGGTATCGCTAAGGGTAAGCCCAGGCGAGGTACTGCTAACTGGTGCCCAAGTCTACCAAACAACCTGCTAAAGCTGAACCACCGGGATGTATCACCTCACGGGGCTAAGCAGGAGGTACATGGGTACCTCGGTTAAAGAGTTTAATCCGTTCCTGGAGACAGCTCGTAACCCGAAAACTCGTAAACCGAAGCAAATTTCCCCATAAGAAATAATGGGAAATGAATTAATCCATTCCTGACTACCCAAAAACCTCACCACACTAAATTTGATACCTAATTCATCGAAATATACACTACAAAACTATGTTTTGTAGTGTATATTATTATTATTACTATTTAATATTACTTACCCTTACTGATGACTCCTGTTGGCATATGGAAAATGGTGAGGAGGGGGAAGGAGGAGAGGTGTTACTGTTTGGAAGGGGAGTCCCCTTCCATTATAACATCAGGCAGTGAGGACTTCTCTGGTGTGCACTCTCTGGCACGTTTTGCCTGCATACCACTAGGACTTGCTGGTGGCTCACTGCTTGCTTATCTTACTAAGAATCTATCTAAAGACACTTGTTTTTTCCTACATTTTAACACTTGTCTGTAGTAAGACATCACATTGTCATTTAAAAGGTCATGCAACGGCCTGCTACAGCATTATCTGGGTGAGTTTTTTCAACAAAACTTTGCAGTTCTTCCCATACTTCACACCTTTTCTTAATGAGGAAGGGACATCCTCTACTCACAACTATTTTCTTAGGTTGAACCTTACCACTGGCTTTCTTGGGACCCATTGCGAGATATATAATAACAACTTTTATGTTTAAATGGCCAAATATCCAACAAAACACTGTAAATCCTGGTGAAGAATTGAGGTGGGATAGTCACTGGGCGCGAGGCACTGATAAACTGAGCGGCGATCGCGGTGCCACCACGCATTAATCGGCCCGTACGCGTATCAATACCCTCATATCCTGAGGCAACCCTTGTATCCCGATACAAATTTTCCGAGCAAATCCTGCTCATAACCAGAAAAACTCGTAACCAGGGGCGCTCGTAAGCTGACGTACCACTGTACCACTGAACACAGGTCAAAACCCTAAAATAACAGGGAGCAATGGACACAAAGACAGACCCCTCTACCAAGCAAAAACAAAAATGAGGAAAAACAAAAAACAAGTTTTTCTTGTGAGGAAAGCCTCACAAGAGGGGTAACGTACCCAGGAGGAACAGAACCCGCAGCTGTAATAGGTGAAAACTAGCTGCACAGTACCCCACACCTCACTAGTGCAAAAAACTACCACTTACCCCAAGATAAACAAGGGAGGAAACCCCCCCCCCCTCAACACTCAAGACAGTCAATCATCAAGCAGCAAAAGACCACAGAGGTAGACCTCAAGGTAACTTGTGGAAGAGAACCCCAAGCCCCATGGGCAGTACTTATAGGGCACTCGGGGAAGGGAACCCTAAGCACATGTAGCCCGAGTACCTGTGAATATTACTCCCAGCTCGCAAGCCCCTGTAAGAGCAGTACTTAACGTAAGGCACAGCACAACATGAGAGAATCTGCAGCTGGAGCCACACGACCAAGCCACAATCATATCAGCCAAGAACTGGTGGTTGGATCGCCGGCGCGGTAGGTCTGGGGCTCCACCATTCCCCCTCCTGAGGAGGGGGGAGCTGCGCAGACATGCGGCGCAGCTCGTATGACGTCATGCTCATTTGCTGATTTTTGTTTGGGGAGTTCTGTCCACTTGTTTGTCAATTTTCGTCATTTTAACCAGAATAGGGGTTTGTTTTGAGGCGCTTACCTTTCTGGGTGCCTGGCCTGGTCGATGGCAGACATAGAATGCTCCAAATCACATGTGCATTTCTATAGGCCATTGCTCCTCGTGCCTCTCTGAGGGGGGCCAGGTTCTGGCTCGTGGTCCCTGGTAGGCCTAGAACTCCATATACACTGATTGATGCCAAAGTCTAATGATATACATATCAGCCTGGGTAGCTCCAGGGAGCCAAAGAGGCTCCCCCCAGAAATTTATCTGAAAAACCGGGACTCAAAGGATGCTGGGGCAGGAAGAGGAGCATAATTGCAACCTCAGTGATGTTCACTCAAGGCAAAATGTTTGAAGTGCTGTGGCTAGGAAATTGAGGAGGGAAATGCACAGTACCCTGATGGTGTGCAGGTGGAACTAATGAGCAAAATGCTTCAGGACCAGGTGCTTTAGTTTATTTCAGGGGTTTGTTGGTTTGTTTCCTATGTTCTGTTTACCTTGCAGATTGAATGTTTCAGTTCACCCACCTTTCTGGTGACTTTTTCTTAATAAGGATGATAAACGATTCCCCTGTTCCTTGTGCCTCTTTAGATAGGGCCAGGTTTTGGCCTCTAGTCTCCAGTAGGCTTACAATGACTAAAGAGTCTGCCATGGACTGAATTAGGTGGAGCTATACTGGTAGCTAGCACCAAGGAGCCACCAATAGGAGCCCTTCCAGAAAAGAGGCACAAGACAAGCTGCCCAAAAAAGAAAAGAAGCCTTGACAAAAACTCTAAAAGGAGGGAAATAGCTGCTAGCCAAGGGGAGATCAGGACCTCAAACCTTTAATTACCTCAACTGTTCCAGGAATAACCAACATCTCTTAGTTGAATGAAGTAGCAGCTCTGGTTACAGATAGAGGGGCGTAACCCCAATAAACACCGAGTGAGTTAGTAAGGTGGGCTGCTTGTCAGTACCCTTGGTGATTTGGGTGGCCATCTCATGGTATTCAGATGCATTATGGTTAGTGATGTTCATCTATGGAAACAAACATTTGCCTTGTTTACATCATGGATTATTTTCCTTTCAGGAAATAGTTTGTTTTGTTCCACTTAACCTTTCTGGTGGTATTTTTTTTTTTATTTTGGGTAGGTTTATGATATCCAAGCCTCATGAAGAGTAGTAGATTATGAGCCTAGATGGCGTTTAGTCCAGCATGGGACTCAGAGCCCTGGTGCAATTCTTAAAACAGCTACACTAGCACTGAGAAGGCTCCCAGAAATGCTTCCTTTTTTCTGATATTTGTTTAATTTATCTTTTAAACTCCTCCCCTTATCTAATATTTTCCATTCCTATTTAGTCTCATCATACTCCTGCAGGTGATGAGTCACAATAACGTGGGTAAAGTATGTAGACCAGACCACACACTAGAAGGTGAAGGGACGGCGACGCTTCGGTCCATCCTGGACCATTCTCAAGTCGATTCAAATCGACTTGAGAATGGTCCAGGACGGACCGAAGCGTCGTCGTCCCTTCACCTTCTAGTGTGTGGTCTGGTCAACATCATACACCTTTTTCTTGGCCGATATTGCTCCTTCACTTTGTATCCATATATCCTGAATCTCTTTCTTGTCATTAACTGCTGTCACTTCTTTATCACCCCAAGCGTTTCCTCTTATTAATCTACTGATTTGTACAACATTGTACACCTGCATAGAATACCCCAAACATTAATGTTCATTGTCTCTTCCCTGAAGATCAATATCAACTCTCCCTTGTAATCATTATAGCTATCTTCACTATTACTGTATTGTATTATTTTTGTGTACCTGTATAATGAACATGTACCTTACAATGTAGGCTAATTATTTACAGGTCAAACGGTTTACCTTTTCAAGGTTGTTATTAACATCATAAAAATCCTTTGCATCTGGGTGCCAGGCATTAAAGATAGCACCCTGACCAATGCCAAGCCTCATATCCTTTAGTAGAACACGTATCAGCCACTTCTGTTCTGTAGCCGTCATATTACGTAGCATTGTCAGAAGTGAGCGCTCAACGTCATCTGTGGAATTTAGAACATTAACAGTTTAAAACTGCCTCTCCAATATTTCATGGGTTACATCTAACTACAGCTGGTTCAACACATAATAAATGGCAAAAAAAAAAAAAAAAATACAGCATTGAATGTAATGAAACGCCATTTTCTGGGTGAGATTCGGAGGCTCCCCGGAGCTATACCAGGCTGATGTGTATATATATTAGACCGTGGCAACAGTCAATCGAAGGAGTTCTAAGCCTACCGGGGACCAGAGCCAGAACCTAGCCCCCTCATAAGAGGCATAGGAGCAATGGCCTAAAGACACCCCCAGTGTAATTGGAAGGAGTCTTAGTCTGCCATCTACAAGGTCAGGCACCTAGAAAGGTTTGAATTCCAAAACAAACTACTGCTGATCATATAAACTGCAAACCGAAAGCCGAACTAGCAACAGAACTCCCAAATCAAAGCCAAGGAAACAAGTATGACGTCACCACAAACGCCGCCCACTCCGTCTGCGCAACCCCCCTCCCCAGGTGGAGGACCGGGGGGGTTATCCCAGACCTCCACACCGGCAACTTTCCTCAGTTCAGAGGCTGAGTATAAAAAAATGCGAAAAACCGCCGACCGGAGGGAGGGAGGGATGCCGGGGAGCCTCCGAGTCTCACCTAGAAAATGGCATTTCATTACATTCAAAGCTGGTTTTCTGTGGAGAGCCTCTTCGGCTCCCCGGAGCTACCTAACCAAAGACAAAGAAAAGGCGGGACTTACCCGGGAGGCAGTCGTCACTCGTTCCTCCACTCAAAGTCGAGACAAATGGCTGCTACCTGCAACCAAGGCTACACACGCCTGAGAAGGCCCTGTAACAAATGAGATACCGTGCAGCCAGGAACCTATTCAACATCCATAAGCCCCATGCCCGAATGTCAGCCCAGGACATATTCCCAAAAACAGCAGCCAAAGCCGCGAACTTACGAACATCGTGGGCACTGGGATAGACCGCAGGCTGGCTGGACCGAATAATCCTGCGGACAACCTGGGAGAACCGTACCTTGGAACAGGGAAGAAGAGAAACCGGCTCACCCAAAGCGTGTCCCCTGCCACGGAGGCCGTGGCACGCAGATACCGGCGAAGAGCCGCAACTGGACACAAAACACGATGCACCCCCAGCCGAACCAACCAAGCATCAACAACCCAAGGACCCCTTTGGAAAGCAGCAGACTGATTCTTCACCATAAAAGAAAGAGAAGGTTGCAAATGAACAAAACGACCACCAGGACCGAAAGAATAGAAACCCCTGCGCCAGAGGAGAGCATGAAACTCCCCGACCCAACCCCCAGAGGCCAATGCCCTTAAGAAAAGAACCTTAGAAAAACAGTCCTGAACCGAGGGGGCCATCACAAACTGAGGAGAAGAGAGAAAAGAGAGCATCCGGTCCAACGACCAGGACGGCTCAGGCGGCGCATGAGCAGGCTGGAGGTGAAACAACGTCCGAGAACGCTTGCAGAACGGAGCAGAAGAAACATCCATCCAAAAGCAAGCTGCAGCGGCTCCGCCAGCGCTGCACGAAACAAGGGAACAGTATTTGGCACAAGATGACAGTCCTGAAACAACTAAGAGAGAAAGGACAAAACCTGATCAGAATCGAAGACAACCTACGAAGAGACAAAATATTGCTGAAAGATCCGCCAGGAAATTTCATACTGTCATTTAGACGAAACTCGCAGGTGGGACACTATCAATTAAGCCACCTGATCACCATACAAGTGGAGATACACCCACGTCAAAGACACCAGACGCGAAGAGTGGAGGAGAAGATCGAACCAGGCACATAATGGACCGGACCGATCTGCTGAAAGAGGCGGAGTCGCAAGAAGACTCTTGGGTTCGGACATCGAGCAAGAAGCGCCTGAAACCAAGGCTGGCCCGGCGACCAAGAAGCCAACAGGACTACTCTCCCTTGGCAAGTTTCCAACCAAGCCAGGATCCAGAGCAATAACCTGACCGGAGAGAAGAGGTACAGGTAACTCCTCCTCGACCAGTCCAGTCGAAAGGCATCGACCCCGATGGCCTCGCAGTTTGGGAAGGGGGCCTCATAAACTGGAAGACGCCTTGACCACGCCAATGCAAATAGGTCCACCTCTGGGCGCCCATACGTCCGGCAGAGCCAACTGAACTAGTTGGCATCGACCGTCCATTCCCTGGAATGGGGAATGAACTGAGACAGGCCATCTGCCAGGACGTTTGACACCCCCTGAACATGAACCGCCAGGAGAGCCAAACTCCGAAAATTCAGCAGACGAGTCACCCGAAGCGACCAGCCCCAAAGAATGAAGGACTGCATCAAATCCTTGTGGTTCGGGCAATGAACCACCGGGGAGCAGTCTGAAAGGAGTCGGATTGTTGCTCCTCGAGCGACCCAAATCCTCTGAAGTGAATGCCACACTACCGCAAACTCCCTCGCCATGCTGTGAGCTCGACGGAAGGACAGACCCCACTGACCCTGGCCGGGCTGGTGAGCACTTGTCATAAAACCCCAGCTGAGAGACAAGGCATCCGTGAACACATGGAGTGAGGGCTCGGAAGGTGCCACGGCACAGAACTCCGAAAAACCCACAGAGGAAGTCAGCAATGCAGCAGACGACACAAAACTCCCGGGATCCGAACCCATTGATCGCGAGAGCAGCAGAAGGGACGACCTTGAAGAAACTAGAACATCCGCCGAAGCCGGATCCGACCCGATGGGTAGACCAGCACGGCGAAGTTCAGGCTCCCGCACAGCCACTCAAACAACTGACAAGTGACCCAAGTGCCCTCCAAAAACAGCCGGAGGAGAGACAAGGAAGCAGTCCGAGAGTCCCACACCAGACCCAGCCAAATCCGAACCTGAGAGGGAACCAAAAGGGACTTCCTCCAGATCACCATGAACCTGAACCAGGCGAGCTGGGCTAGAAACATATCCCTGGCGAGCAGACACGCGAACTGGCCGGGAGCCCACATCAGCCAGTCATCGAGGTAAGCCAGAACCTGAACCCCTAACAGAAGCAAACAGATCACCACGACCCGGTAAGGCGTGTGAACACTCGAGGTGCCAGATTCAAGCCGAGTGGAAGGCAATGAAGGTGGTAAGCGGGTCGCCCCATGACAAAACCGAGCCAGTCACTGAACCCCAGATGAATCGGGACGCATACAATAAAATTATAAAACCAAAACAAGTCCCGGAAGACCCAAGACACCATCCAGGAACACGTTGCCAAAAGCAGCCGGAAACGAGACAAAGTGGTCATCCGGAAAGAGGAGCAAAAGACCCAGGGATTCAGACTAGACAAGTCTAGTATGAATCACAGATCCGCACAGTTCTGTTTCGGAACTGAAGACAGGTGAAACCCACCTGAGGGACGTTGTCGTTTCGACCTCACCCAAGCGAACCCACCCCCGGATGACCTGACAGAGCACAGGAGAAGAGGCCTGCCCTGCCAGCCCTGATCCCCCCGAAGGAGGAGGAGCGACCCAACGCCACCACAGGTCGGAGGAAACGACCTGAAATGCCCACGAATCGTGGGACCAGGTGAGAGAAAACAGCGCAAGCCTCCCCCCCCTATCGCCCTATCAATGGGGTAAACTGCGAAAGGGCCGACGACCCCTATGAGAGCCCAAACAACACTAAGAGCGATCACTGTGCTGACCAGAACGCCGACAGCTCCAGAGGAGGTGCCGGCCCCGAATCTGGCACTACTGGCTTACAACAACCGAAGGAACCCCGAGACCTGGCACGACCCTTCCGGACAGGACCACTATGACAGCAACGGACAAAAAGGTGATGAAAATCTAAGAGCCAGGGCCCAAGACTATTCCAAAATTTTGGACGAACAACGCCTGTCAGCACACGAGGCGAGAAGTGAAGTACAGATGCCACCTCCCTCAGAAACGGCGCATACAACTTCACCAAAGCAGCCGGCGCCTGAGCTGCTGAAGCAAGCACACCGGACCCTGGCCCGGAACCCAGCTCCTCCACACCCAGCACGGGACAGTCCGAAGACAGCTTCAGCAGGGAAAAGAAACACAAGACCGAAGCCAAGTGCCCACGGGTGCACAAATCCTTGGCCACCAGGGATGCCGAAAGGGAACCTGCACGTGAAGCCGCACCTGGCCGACATCATAAAGAAGGACAGGAGCAAACTAGCACACCATGAGGTGCTCCAACTCACCCCCCAGGAAAACCTGAACAACCGTAAGCAAATCCCGCCATTCAAGTGCGCATTTCGACAGGACGAATGCCAAGCCCCCCGAAGAAAAAAAGGCAGCCTGCCAGCCAGGAAGACTCCGGCACTTTGTAACGCACTCAATAAGGAAAAGAGGAGCCCAACCTAAAAAGAAGGCTTCATTATCGAGGCGTAATCCGGGTCACTCAGAAGTTAAGCTGCAAGGGGCCTCCCACACCTTCCTTTGTAGGATGCGGAAGCCAAAAAACCTCCAGAAGGAGGGAACCGAAGAACCCAAGGAAACTCAGACTCGGACCCGAACCCGGGAACGAGTCGAACTCGTACAGGGAGGGGGGAAAGGAAAAAACCCCTCCCCCTGTAAGAACAAGCCCTGCATGGAGGGTACCAAACACCCAAGCAGTGACAGGTGGGACTCAGGCCTCCCCCCAAGTCAACTCCTCCCCAACTCTGGAATCCTCCATGTCAGGACCCGGGGCCCAAGCCGTCCTCCAAACCCTCTGCCTTTGGAGAAAAAGCAGAGTCCACCAGAAAAGCAAGGATGAAGGGGGCCCACTGGCATGGCCCAAAAGCTCTGGCAGGAGGACCAGGCTCGAATGCCTCTGCCGCCGATCCGGAAAGGGCAATCCCCGAAGCCACTCGAGTCTTACTACAGTATAATTCAGCGGGGCAGCTGCGGGGCATCCGGAAAGGCAACCAACCTCGCACGTTGCTGCAACTTAAACCTTGCATGCAATGCTAAAGCTGCCTGCACTCAAATATCAGTCTCAGTGGACTGGGTGAATGGAGTACAAGCAAAGAATACCA